GGCCATTTATTATCTAAGTAGGCTTCTGAACGAGGGCGAGAGAAAATTTTCCCCCATAGAGAAGTTGTGTTTAGCGTTGTACTTTTCTTGTACAAAGCTACGCTACTGCCTGGTCCCTGTCCAGGTACAACTCATATGCCAAACAGACTTGATTAAATACATGCTATCTCGGCCAATTATTCATGGCCGAATGGGCAAATGGACCTTGGCTCTGTCTTAATTTAATTTAGAGTATGTACCTCAACGAGCCATAAAAGGGCAAGCATTGGCAGACTTCTTGGCAGATCCTCCCTGCATTGAAGTGCCAAGCGATCCCGTAGAAGTGTGCGATGTTGGTATAACGCCATGGATCCTGTATTTCGATGGATCCAAAACTCGTGGCGGTGCCGGTGCTAGTGTGATGTTGAAAGCACCATCAGGCCGGGCCATGCATTTTGCATTCTCGTTGGATTTTCCTTGCACCAATAACCAAGCCGAATCGGAAGCTTTGGTAGTCGGGGTGGAAATGCTCATTGAGCTTGAACGTGGATGTTAAGGGAGATTCACAGTTAGTGGTTCATCAGGTCCGCGGGGTTTTCGCTGTATCAATAGCGTTCTAGAAACGTATCTAGACCATGTATTGTCGTTGACTGCCCACTTCGACAGTATGGCGATCAACTTTGTTCCTCGAATGGACAATAGCGAAGCCAACTATCTTGCACAAATGGCTTCGGGATTTTAAGAGTTTGCGAAAAGCAATGTCGTAGAACAGATAGTGGTGCAAACACTTAAGCCCTTGCGGGAGCGGTTGAGAGTTGAGCAAGTTTGCGTAATAGAGGAAGACGCCGGCGACTGGTGTGCACCACTGTTGTCTTACTTACAAGATCCGAACAAGGTTGTTGACCATGCCATCAGGTTTAGAGCAAGGAGCTACGTAGTTTTGGATGGGACCTTGTATAAACGCAGACCTGATGGGTTATTGTTGAAATGCTTGGGGGGCAAGGAGGCGTTGCAAGCCATGGCAGAGGTGCATGAAGGAATATGCGGAGCCCACCAAGCTGGTTCTTCCATGCGATTGATTCTACATCGCTACGGATTCTACTGGCCCACCAGCCGGCTAGATTGCGCCGCATATGACAAGGGCTACGAAGCTTGCCAACGTCACGATCCCGTTCAAAGAGAGCCGGTGGTGGATCTGAAATCCATAATCAAACTGAAACCGTTTTATGGTTGGGAAATGGATTTGATTGGTATGATTTATCCACCATCGTCAAAGAAACAGGTTTTCATAATTTTGGCCACTGACTACTTCACTAAGTAGGTGGAGGCCAAACCATTAAAGGTGGCGAACCAAGAGGAAGTGATTTCTTTCATACAAGAACACATTGTCCATCGATTTGGTTTGCCAGCAACAAAAACGGCGGACCAAGGAACTGTGTTCACTGGGGGGCAAGTTATGGAGTTCGCGGCGGAGCGGGGGATAAAAATTATCCATTCTACGCCGTATTATGCACAAGCTAATGGGCAAGCGGAAGCATCCAACAAGGTCGTGAAAATTATTTTGACGAAGATGATTGAGGATAATCCGCGACGTTGGCATGAAATCTTAACAGAAGCGTTATGGGCATACAGGATGTCCCCGCGGAGCAGTACGAGAGTGAGTCCATTCTCGTTAACTTACGGTCATGAAACATTCCTTCCTGTGAAGGTGACCGTCAACTCACTCCGGTATATGAAGCAACACGAGTTAACACCTGAGGAGTATCATGAATCAATGATGCTTGAACTCTGCGATCTTGATGAACTTCAACTCCGCGCCCTCGCTAATGTTCAAGTACAGAAAGAAAGAGTGGCAAGAGCTTATAACAAGAAGGTTCGACACAAATCATTCGAGGAGGGCGAACTGGTTTGGAAGGCTCACTTGCCGATTGGGGAAAAAGATCCCAAGTTTTGAAAATGGTCGCCAAATTGGCGCGGACCATTTGTGGTACATTCTGTGCGTCCTAATGGAGCGTACCTGCTGAAAGACTTAGATGGAGTGATGCATGAGCGTTTGATAAATGGCAAATATTTCAAGCCATATGTGCCGTCCCTATGGGACGCAACTGGTCATTAATCTGGGCAATGACGATCAACCATGTGCTAAAAGGACGTGGCCTCGTCGGCCACCAAGCTTGCATCATGGTTGAATAGTATGGGAATGGCGAAGTATGCAACAAATACACTAATGCCTTTAAGGCCAGCGGCTGGGTTCACCCAAGTCCAGCTGGTGCGGTACCGCTATTCGGTACTAAAAAAAATGCGGCCGTTTCGGCCAAATAATGTTGCGGCTAGTTTAGGATTCTAACAGCTCTGTTGGTGATTGAAAAAACAAGAGAAGAAAGGAAACGATGCTATTTAGTATAGAGTAGGGCAGAACTGCGTCAATGGTAAAAACAAGTGTTTTAAAAATAGCAGGGCTGTTGAGCGGGAGTGAGAACGAAAAATTGGAGCTGTTGATGGAGGAAAACGGGGTTGTTTTAACAAATAGAAGAAGGAAGAAAGCAATGAAAGGTTGTGGCCAAAACGGCGCTGCGGATTGGTGAAAAGGAAAAAGGCCACAATATAGGAGTGAAACACCGTTACAGGCAGGTGGCCATAAAAAAAATAATAAAGTAATAATAAGAATAAATAAATTCAAGCTGCTAGTCAGCAGCGTTGTGGGCACTGGGCAGGAATAAATATGGTGACTTGGTGACAGAGTTGTTTATTACTAGTTACAATTCGTCGCCGTTTTTGCCAAGCACTGGTGCGGGGCAGCCTGTTTACTAGATTGTTGAGGATACCACGCGCGGCAACGTTGCTGGCAGAGAAAAACGAGGGGTTTTATGGACAATGCACAATGGAATCGTTGTCTTAAAGGGTTTTAGTGACGTGATCAGTCTTTTCTTTGGGCCAAAGCTTATCAAAAGAGAAGATGATATGACCCAAAAAATTAGTCATGCGGAGAATTGTTAGTTGGCCAAACTTGTTTGTGGTCCTAAATGTTGCTTTATAATTCTAGCAGGTAAAGGAGCTAGAGCAGAGTCGTTGGTAATTTGGAGGTGCCAAACATATTTGGGAGTATTTGCGGTATTGGAGTGGAGACTGGGCAAGCAGGGTTGCAATAGTAATGATTTGGCGGCTGCAGAGGGTTCGAGGCAACATGGCATGCCGTGCCACTGTAGGTGGTAAGTTAAATGTTGCAATACTAGTTTCATTATGGACACTAGTTTTCATGGCCAATCGTTTGAATTATTAATCGAGATTATTTTAGGTGATTGAATTGTATCAACAACTTAGTTCATAAATTCTTTATAAACTAAGTTGTGGGGGCATTGTTTACACCTAAAATATGTTATTTATTTATTTTTATAACATAGTCAGAAAAGGACCATAATTCATAAAGTCAGAGTACAGAAGATAACGCCGTGCGGAAGTCGACTAATCGCCGAACTTCCGATGAAAGGGCTTGTTTTGCCACAAAATGGGCGACCCTGTTGACGCTACGACTAGCATACGAGCATGAACAGAATCTGAACTCCTTCGCCAGCTGGTTCACGTCCTCCAAAAGAGCTCCTCCCAATGCGTGGGCCCGGTCTCCAGATAATACTCGACGAATGACCAGCAAGGCATCCCCAACAAATTTGACAGAAAGAAAACCCCGAGTTAGACACCAATTCATAGCATCCCGAAGCGCCAAGGGTTCCGCAATAAAGGGGTCGTGAATACCATCGTAAAACGTACCGATTGCAAAGGCGAGCGACCCCGAGGGATCGAAGCCAACAAATCCAATGCTGCAGCCCCGATCTCGTTTGACAGCCCCATCAAATCGCACTACATGTGCAAGGGAGGACGCGATGCCTTCGTCAAGCGGTCTCGCGGTCAGGACTCCCGATGCCTGTGGAGATGGGCCTCGGTTCGATTGCGCAGCTGCCCTATCGGACGTCGCCGGGATCGTACCTGGAGTAGCAGAGGCTGCTCACCACTCATCCACTTGGAAGCGAAACTGACGATGAAGAGCAGGTGGCAAGTACTGTATCCTACCATGAACAGCCCAACACCTCCCTTTCCAGATCCGCCAACATAAGAATACCACATCCAAAATCTGTAGTTTAGGCAGGTGAGAGGAGAAGAACAACGCCTTCCAAGAATCTTCCATTTGCAAGGCCTCCAACCGATTCTGAATGTCTTCAAATCCAGCCAAATCCCAAAGTGGGCGGGCTACCCTACACTCAAACAGGAAATGATTTAAAAGTCTCCGGACCGGTATAGCAAACCGGGCAGATGTCAGTCGTCACAAGTGTTTTTTGGAGGAGGACTGTTTGGAGAGCGAGGAATCGCCGAACCAGCCTCCAAAAGAAGAACTTGAGTTTCGGTGGAACTGGGAGGTTCCAAAGCACCTTCCAGAACCTGCAATCAAACGGGAGAACATCAGGGGGGTGACGAGCATTCAGTTCGGCAGTGAGTAAATGATAGCCTGTTTTAACCGTGATCCCCTGTGTGAGAATAGTGCCAAATCATACGATTTGTTGTCAAATGGAGTGATAAAGGAATACTCAATATGGCTTGCACAGACTCCTCGGTGAATAGGGAGGTGAGAAGATCACGTTTCCAGGCTCTAGTTTCACTGCAAATTATGTCGGCTACCTTGAGTGGGACTGATTGGATCCCCAGCAAAACACACGGCGCAGACGGCGGGGAGGTGGGAGCCATCTGTCCTCCACCGTCCGAACATGTTGCCCCGACCCGATCTGCCATCGCAGTCCGCGTTTGAGGAGATTGCGTCCTTCTAATACTCCTTGCCATGCCCATGAAGCCCGATATCCTACTTCCGCGTCAAGGAAATGGTGGTTGGGATGGTACCTCGCTTTATAAATCGCGCCCAGGCTCCCTTCCGGGTTGAGCAATATATGCCAAGCCTGCTTAGTAAGAAGAGCAACATTAAACCGATCAAAGTCCCTGAAGCCTAGCCCCCCATCAAATTTGCTCTGACAAACAGCCTACCAAGACAACCATCGAATCCCGTTCTCTCTATCCTGCCATGACCACCAGAATTTCGACAGAAGGCTATTGCACCGCCTACAAGTCGTAGACGGCAGCCGGAAGGCCGACATTGCATAAACTGGCCATGCTGCCCCAACCTCCTTAATCACCACCTCTTTCCCAGCCAAGGATAGTGACTTGGTCTTCCAATTCCGAATCCGAGCAGCCAAGGCCTCTTCGACGAACTGAAAGGTCAAAGTCTTCGATTGGTGAACCTGCGAGGGAAGCCCAAGATATTTGTCGCCAATCCCCATCTGCCCCACGCCAAGGAAGGAAGTGAGAGCCGCTAGCTCCTCCGGCGATACATTGGCACTCACACACATCGAGGGCTTGTGGAGGTTGACTTTTTGTCCGCTGACGGCCTCGTACTCATGGAAAATATGGAGAAGATTAGCACATTCCGGTAGGGAAGCCCGAATGAAAAGATAAGTATCATCAGCAAACATGAGATGGGATGTAATGGGAGCACGCCTATGGACTCGAAGCCCATGGAGAGAGTTGGTCGAGATTTCAGAGAGTAGCTTGGCCGTAAAGGCCTCAGTGTATAATGCAAAGAGTAAGGGAGACAGAGGATCACCTTGCCGGATTCCGCGTTCAGGTTGGAAGTACCCATACTCTACCCCGTTCATGAGCACTGAAAAGCGGACCGTGGAGACGCAAGATCGAATCCACCGCGTCCAAGTCGTAGAAAATCCCATGGCTGTCAAGTTGTGCAGGAGGAATGCCCACTCGACCCGGTCATATGCCTTCTCCATATCGAGCTTAAGCGCCATCCACTTGTCCTTACCCTGCACGTTGGTTTTTAAGAACTGCATGATTTCTTGAGCAATAAGAATGTTATCATATATGGATCGACCCTTTATAAAACCATTCTGACAAGAACTTATAATATCAGGAAGAATTAAGCTCAACCTAGTAGCTAAAAATTTTGCAATGATCTTATACAAAACCTGGCAAAGACTGATGGGTCGCATTTGGCGCAATGAGTCTGCATGTGCTACCTTGGGAATAAGAGCAATCCAAGTGTGGTTGATACTCTGTAGGAGGCGCCCGGTACTGAAGAAGGATATGACTGCTGCACAGACATCCTTCTCCACTTCAGGCTAGAAGCGTTGATAAAATGCCCCTGTGAACCCGTCGGATCCCGGGGTCTGAGATTTTCCAATGGCGAAGACTGCCCTCCGGATTTCGTCAGGCAAGACCGGTGCTATAAGGGACGCATTAGCGTCGGGGGTGACCAGCCGCGGGAAGTGAAGATTGGATACAAACTCTGTCGGATCAGTCCCAGTGGAAGTGAAAAGGACTTTGTAATACTCCACCGCAATGCCACCTTTCTCGTCTTCAAGGGAGTGGGGAGCGTTGTTCTCGTCTTTTAATGTGGGAATTGAATTGAACCTCCGTCGATGGATCAAAGATAGACGGAAACAGCGGGAATTCGAGTCGCCAGTTTTGAGCCATCCCACCCTGGACTTCTGCTTCCAGTACACCTCCTCTTGCCTGTACGCCTCCCTCAGTTGGACTTCTAGTCCCTTGATATGTTCCCAATTCACATCTACCCTTCCTTTTGAATCCTCTATTTGGGACTTTAGATCAAATATCTTCCTGGCCGGGTTGGTGGTGCCGCGGCGTGCCCATTCTACGAGCCCATGGTGGAGATTCTTAAGCATCGATTGTAGCCGGAACTGCATTGTGCCATGAACCACCTGTCCCCAAGACGCTTGGAGGATCCCAGGCACTTCTGAATTAGTATCCCATCTCATGTCATACTTAAAATGGCGTCGCGAACAGGCTGCCGGTTTGGTGAAGTTCACTAGCATGATCCGGTGATCAGACCCGATGTCCGATAGCGAACGTACCTGCAAATCAGGCCACAAAGACAGAACTTGGGGATTAGCAAGGCATCTATCCAGCCGTTCTAAAATGTGTCGATCTCCTTATTGTCGATTGGACCATGTGAACAAGGGTCCGATGCATCCTAGATCAATCAAGTTAGAGAAGAGAAGAAAGTCCCCCAATTGGTCAAAAGCTGCAGAGGGAAGCGCACGCCCCCCTTGCTTCTCAACCGAGGATAGCAAACAGTTGAAGTCACCCACAATGAAGGAAGTAAGAACACAAGACAAAACAAAATTAGAGATTGCATTAAGTTCCGATTGCCTACTATTTACATCACAACTGAGGTGCACAAAGACTACTACGAATCTGCCTAGAGAAGGATGGACACATTCAATAATGAGATAAGCATAGGATGAATCTAAAACTGTACAAGACACTAAATCCGACCAGCCAACTGCTAGTCCACCACCCCTGTTAATACCATGGAAGGCACGCACATTAGAGAATCCTAGACTATGGAGTTTCCCTAAAATGAACTCGTCGTCTCGCCGCGTCTCACTAAGGAAGGTGAGGAAAGGGAAGTAGCGGCGAATGGCTTCCCGTAACGACGTAACTGTCAGGAGGGAGCCTAAACCCCGACAGTTCCATGCCATGAAACTCATTTGGCCTCCTGGGACTGATTGGGGTCGGTTGCCTCCACCCTTGTATCAGATTCTGTTGAATCCTGATAAGACACCTGTTCAATGCGAATTCGTTTGGCAGTCGGTTCTGCTTGCCCGGGTGTCTCCCCTTTTCCTGCCGAACAGCCACCTGGTTGGGAACGCCCAGCCTGCAGATCACCACGTCCAGAATCAGCCCCGTATGGTTCCCCCGTGAACAGAGACAGTTGTTGCAACTTGGAGTTGACAACTAAGGCTCCCGATTGCTGCGACGAAGATCCCCAGATGGCATCCCCTTGCTGGCTATTCTCAGAGTTGCGGTTCCAAGTGAACTTCCTCTTCCGGGCCAAGGTATGCTCGTTGACCCGAGGCCCCCTATCCAAGTTGATGGTATGCTACCCATATCGTGGCGGTTGCTCCCCTAGCTCTTCCTTCTTGGGGCAGCGATGGCCTGAGTGCCCAATAGCACCACACAGGTAACAAAATTGGGGCAAGCGTTCGAACTTAGCCTCCACTTTGAAAACCCCTTTGCTAGCCTCTTCGTGCACCGCAGGAATCTCGAAACGTAACGGCTGCGAGATATCAACATGGACCTTAACTCGAACATAGAGGCCCCCGGAGAAATCCGACTGATGAATGGCTTCCGGGTCCGCAGTCCCAAGGGAAGCCCCCAACATCGAGCCAAGTCGCTCCGTGCAGCAAGTGTACGGGATATTCCATAGCTGGACCATGAGGGGTACTCTGAGGAGGGATTCAGCCAATGCAGCAGACGGGATCTCCCATGGAACCAAATGCAGCAAGTATTTTGGGAGGAACCAGGGAGACCTTTTTAGGATCTTGTTGTTATAAAACCCTACCCTATACGTTTTGCCTAATCATAGTGTTCATACAATTGCAGCGGAATTAATCTCGGGTGTTACATTAATTATCAAAATTTACCTAAATAAAATTTCGACATGCATTACTCGCGTAATGGGCTAACAGTTCTTGCAACTTATCCTGCAAAATAATTCATCTGAATCCATGCATACAATGACAAACATATATACTAACAACAATATACATGGACTTTCATAGCCATAGTCACAGTTTCATACTACACAACTGGATACCAAACTTATACATACCATAATCGTCACAACTTACACAGTTACACAACATATACACATATCATCAATTTTTCACACCTGTGGATATCTCACACTACATCAGAAGCTAGTATGCACATGAAAAACGTTCTCAAAACATTTTTACAAAAAGGTGTGGATCACTGGCCAAAATCCCAAATAGTAGTCCAAGCACAGAGTAGTTGAAGACCATACCTCATCTTGCCTTCAACTCTTGCTCAGCTCCCACCTATACACATATCTACTGTTGTTGTTGATGATCTGCTTACACATAGCATAAGCAGAGAAGAAGAATAAAAGAGGGTCAGCTCATAGCTGAGTGAGATAATCATAGCATCGTGAGTTCATAACAGAGCATACCCCTATCATACATCTAACAATCAAGCCAAAACACTAGGATCGGACCTCAGCCATCCTCATATCCCAATAGGAAAAAGACTCAACCACCTTGACTTATGCATATGCATCTTATCATGTTTTAATCATAGGCACCTGGCTACTCCCATGCTAATAACTCTCCCGGGAAACATACCCCACATCCCGTCGGATGTAGTCATACATACCCTAACATCCCGTCGGATGTGGTCATACATACCCCACACCAATATGGGTGTAGTCATACCCCGACACCACTCTGGGTGTGGTCATATCTCGTAAGAATTCTTCAGTCACCACCACATGAGAGGTGTGACTATCATACATATCATAATAGAGTAATAGCATAGGGAGCCCTAATTACTATGTAGTTGACCGTGAGACCACAACACTCATATTTGGTATCCTTATACATGATTCATATCTCATCTTGCTTAATCATAATTCATTACTTGCACATGTACTTGACCTGGCCATAATTGGCTCGACATAGGTAAATCAGGAGTCGTATAATTGCACTTCCTCGGGATAAAACCTCATGCAAGTCATCCTCCTTAAACATCATAATATCACCAGGGAATATATATTTTCCCACTTGTGCATCCAAATACAACAATCATGAAAAATCATACCTAATCACCTTCTCGAACCATCGTAAAGCATATTAACAGTAAAGCCCACAATTTGCAACATATACACAATCATCAGCATAAACAAGGTTCATATCGATTAGGGCAAGTCAATAATATCATACAGCAATCCAGGGTTCAACATATAGCACAAAAGCTCATACACCCCTAATCATGCCATTCTAGTTCACCTAGATCAATTCTAAGCATCAATATAATTATCGTGATACGACAAACCCGGTATGCCGTGCTCATCCCTCACCAGTTCTGGTCGTTCAAACACCGGTTTAACCTTTCCGTACTAAAACGTCAATTTCAGGAACGAACCCCGAATTAAAATCCGAGACCGTCCTAATATCCCCTGCAGTATCCCCGTCAATATTAGTTCTAGGCTCTGGGTCAAATTCTTGATAAAAACACATCCAACCCTGGCCGGAGCTAAATTCAGCGGTTTGGACCCCGACCTAAATAATAGCCAAAATTCAGGGATTAGAACTAGAGGATTGATTACCTCGCTGCAGGAAGCTCGTATATGAAATTTGGGCTCAATCCGGCTTCCGGATACTCCGAAACCCTAATTTGGCTTATCGGGAATTCAAGAAATTCCTGAACCAAAAACTCTTTTTAAACCTCTAAATCGATAAATCACGATGTATGGATGAATTAGGCATTATTTACGGGATTTTTGGATCACTAAAACTCAAGATTGGAGCTTTGGAAATTTTCCCTCACGATGCCCTGTGCGCCCTGCTCGGTCTGTTTTTTTTTTTTCTTCTCTCGGTGGTGGAAATAGACGATGATGAGGATTAAAATGGACAGGGAAAGTTTATATATTCGGCCGCTTAGTGTAATTATATATATATATATATATATATGGCGAGTTCTATGGTACCTTGGGTGAAATCTGGGGTACCGAATACCTTGAGTAAGAAAACGCTATCCAGAACTTGAATTGACTAATCTTTCGGACATGATACTATACTCTAACTCTTAAAGATCAACATCTAGGTCTTAATTATCTAAATCTTATACCCGAAGATCAATTTAATTAGAAACAATAATCGACCGTTATGATTCGTCCAAATATAGGCAAAAAAATCAATGCACCATTTTAGGGTTTATAGTTTATGATTTAGATAATTAGGACCTAGGGTTCACTCATTAAGGGTTAGGGTATAATATCATGCCCAAAAATCCTGCTAATTCGAGGTCTAGATAGCATTTTCATACTCAAGGTATGCGGTACCCTGGATTTCATCCGGGGTACCGTAGAAGGCACCATATATATATATTAATACTTATACTTATCCGATCGATTGATAATCCGATTTTCGCCGAAATAGTGTCGAAATGCTCGATTTTAAATCGTGAAATTTTCTAGCGACCGAAATATGGGTTTTTCCGGAACGGGATGTTACAGTTGTAGTCTTTCGCTGTCGAGAAGACCACTTGCACCAAACCCCAGTCAACGGGAACAACTGAGACAGCATCAGTGCATTGCCACACCCTCAGCAGATCCGCTTTCATGGCGTGAAGGGCTGGCCGAGTTCCACAGACTCTCCCTACTAGCGTAAGATCACCACGGGTTGCTCCAACCTGCACATCCGCATCGGAGAACCTGACCACCGCCATCGAGACCGAACTTGGGGGGAGGCTAAATTTAGGGATTTGAAGGGGAAATCTCAATTGAGTTCGCAGGGAGAGTGGGGAGCCTGAGGCACCTCGCAACCCCATGATATATAGTGGTTCCATGTTGGAGATGGCCGTTTCCCGCGCCGCACGACGGCGGAGACCAGTTCGGCAAGGGCGCACGATGCGCAGTAACTGCCCCACACCCAAGAGAGAGGAAGGAGAGGGGCTCGGGGTTTTTTTTTTTTTTACGAACTCTCCGGTTCAAAAATATTTTTTTTATTTTATAAGAAACCTAAAATATTTTTGGCCGGAATTAAATGCCGCATTAATTAGTCTGGGCATTTAATTCGATACCGCGGGTAAAAAGCGGTACCGCATGGAGACAAGCGGCACCGCGGAGAGTTAAAACGGTACCTCAGGGAGGCTCAGCAGAATCGCGGCACTGGAAACGACACCGTTTACCGGGAAGCAAGATGTGGGTCGTGTGTTTGGTATTGGTGTTGGAAAAGGAGTTATTCTTATTATATTTTTTATTCCTTGTGGGAAGGGGAGAAGCGGTACCGCATGGAGACAAGCGGCACCGCGGGAAGTTAAAACGGTACCGCAAGGAGGCTCAGCAGAACCGCGACACTGGAAACGACACTGTTTACCGGGAAGCAAGATGTAGGTCGCGTGTTTGGTATTGGTGTTGGAAAAGGAGTTATTATTATTATTATTATTATTTATTATTATTATTATTATTATTCCTTGTGGGAAGGGGAGAAGCGGTACCGCATGGAGACAAGCGGCACCGCGGAGAGTTAAAACGGTACCGCAAGGAGGCTCAGCGGAACCGCGACACTGGAAATGACACTGTTTACCGGGAAGCAAGATGTGGGCCGTGCGTTTGGTATTGGTGTTGGAAAAGGAGTTTTGATTATAATTATTATTATTATTATTATTATTCTTTGTCGGAAGGGGAGAAGCGGTACCGCATGGAGACAAGCGGCATCGAGGAGAAGTAAAACGGTACCGCGGATTTAAAAACGATGCCGCGAGAGACCTTGTTCAGCGGTGCCGATTAATTAAAAACAATATCGGGTAAGTGATTGGCCCAAAAATCCGCCCAGCCCAAACGTGCAAAATCGTGGCAATTTAGTACGTTGGTGTTTCTTTTTATTATGTTAGGCGGTGTGGTTTAATTCAAAACGGTACCGTGGGTAGGCCCAACGATACCGCTGTGCTAGCAAACGAAAGTGTTTAAAATATTTAAATAATGTCGCGGGCAAAAGCAAACAGAGCCGTTTTGGCGCTAATGATGTCTTTGGTCAACACACGAGTTTGACTAGTGGTCGGATTAATTAATTAACATTTTTAATGATTATTTAAGACCGTGTCGTTAGTTAAAAACGATGCCGTAAGAGGAAGGAAACGACACCGCGGATTATAATTCAATACCGCGAGTAGGCCCAACGATGCCGCAATAGTTAAAACGATAGTGTTAAAGTTAAAACAGTGTCGCGAAGCTTAAAGCTCAACCACATCGCGGGACTAAAAAACGATGTTGTTTAACTAAGAACGGGGCCGAGGGGTGAGAGTTTGGCGGCGAGAAAACAATGAGGGTTGTTTTAATTAATTAGTATTTTTATAATTATTTTAGACGGTGTCGTTTAGTTGAATACGACGCCGTGGAAGGTAAAAACAACTCTCCGGTACTAGGAAAGAAACGACATTGTTTAGTCAAAGACAATGTTGCAAGAGTTTAACAGTGCCGTGAAAGTGATGTTGTTTTGCCCAAAACAAGGCCGCGAGCTCGACGACGTTGATGAGCTTTAGTTTAGTGTTGAGAAACTCAACAACACCGTGAATTCAATAAAGTTGGGCATCAATGGTGGGAATTCGACGATGCCGGGATACTAAGAGCTATAGAGAGCAATGTTGTAAGCCATGAGTCACCATCGAGAGTGGCATCGATATTGTGAGTGCATCGATGTTGCAAGGCTGGGAGCTCAGCGTTGCGGTGTTGTTTGTAATACGTCGGCGTGTTATGAACAAGGATGAATGAAGTTTGGCTTGAGGAGTCGGGGTGGATTATCGAACCCGGGTGGATAACTACAAGGGTGGCTCGATGTCGTTTTGCCAAGTTGCGGTGTAGCATAGCGGTTTCGCACTCGTGGGAGTTACGCAACAAGGAGGAAGTTACCCGCACGGTTGTCAGGAATGAAGAACGTAGGAGACAAAGGCGCGAAGGCAGTTACTACGACTGCGGGGACAAGGGCAAAGTATAAAGATCGGGAAGAGAGAGAAGCTCGGGACGGCAAAATCAAATCTCAAACTGCACCATCGCAGACTTATCAGTTTTTCTCCCTAGTTTCGTAGAACCGCTCCGTCAAAGAACTCATTTGCAGAGTCGTAGTCGTAGCTTGTAGTCATAGGCGCGGAGCTCTCCAGAGGAACCTCCATAGGAGTAGAGGTAACATAACTTAGAAAACTCCCCGTTTGGTTTCTCGTTTCTCGTTGAACACCCTCGTTCGAACGTAGTTTGGAGAGGTGGTGAACCGAGTAACTGTTGTTCTGGTTAGAAGTCAAAGGTGCATTGATCAAATCAACATCGCCGACGCCGGCGGTGGATATTTGACAGTCATCTTGGTTTCGGTTTAATCGATCAAATCAACGGCGCCGACATTCGGCCGCGGATATTTGACGATTTTGATTGACTTTGTGCTTGTGTTTACTTGAAAACAGTGCGCATTGAATACGCGAGTTTCGCCAACGAAACAACACCAAAACCATTCGTGGAGAGCCTATGGTTGCTGGAATCTGACGGTCCTCGTCTCCTGTGCTAACAAGGGATTGAAGCAGCAGTCGATTTTGCCACGTCCTGACTTGAGCTCCTCCTGTACCAGCAGCCCACCACGCGCCGGCGCTCCCGACGATCGTCATGCGGGAAAAGGCAAGGTCGCTGCCGTCCCCCGAGCCAGGGATTCGGCCCGTCCTCATCCGGCTCTCTGTCGTCGTAATTCTGGTTTTTGTCACCACGGATTGCGCACCAAATCCAATCACGTTATCCTTGCTGTTGCTGGAGCTGGTAAAAGTACTCCATGGCTTCTCGACGGTGAGGGGCAAGGGGGTGGTGGAAAGTGCGGCGGTGCAGTGAACTTGGCGCCAGTTCTTGCAAACAGAGCCGAACTCGGTGCCGTCGATATGGATAGGCAGCCTTGCGTAAATCGAGTTCAGGAGATACGAGCACAAGTCCTCCCATGGTCGTCGCGCACAAATTTCCATGTTGGATGCTGAATTGGGCTCGTTGAGGAGAGGAGCGACCAGCTGCTGCTCCACATCTTCAGCAGGATCAACGCAGTAGGCCATCAGAGGAAAGGTGAAGGCATCTTCAATCTCTACGCATCATTATTATTTTATTTATACAAACACTAGCTCAACGAACTTGACTCGAAGTATAGCTAATATGCGGATGAAGGGGGTCAAGTCAAATGCGGAGAAGAACCTCAACGGTTTCTTTCCTGAATTCATGTGTGTGAGAGAAGAGAATCAATTATGATGTAGTTATATTGATTGCAGTGATAATATGAGTTAAATAGACCATGTCATTCGGGCAATTAGCTAGCTCCTACTGCTTCGGTTTTAAAAAAAATAATTATTTGATGATTACTACTTCACAACATTTGAACTAGGATAATTTCTCATCGTCAAAATTATATGTATATATATGTCAATTTTTAGTTAGATTATGTGTTTTGAATTCAGTGGAGTAATTGTGAATAAAACAAAATAAAAAATCCATGGAGTTTGATGTGTAATGTAGTTTGGGAAAGACATTTATAGTTATGACCTCTTCACAGTAACTCTATTTCATCACAATCGTTCAAGTGAAAATCATTATGGCTTGCCTCTTAGTATGTTGATATTTATTTATGTAATTCATGTTATGATACAATTTAGTTTTAATTATTCTGATGAATTGTAAGTTGGGTCACTGAGATCACAAATTTATTTCACGTTTGCCACTCGAACATTATAATACCCTGACATTTCAGTTAAGGTTCGACCATAATAAATAAACGGTTAGATCGACTGTGTACGAAAAGCTTCAATAAAATCAAATTAAGGGCCAAGACCTAATTTATTGACCCAACCCAAATTAATCATTGCCTGGCATAAGGTTTGCAACCGTGGAGTAAGGTAATAATAATAATAATAATAATATTATTATTATTATTATGTTAATGGGTCCACATTAAGATGAACGTGTTGATTGGATTCACTCAAACCGGAGTTGCAAATAAATAGGCAATGTGGATCGCTATGGTGATAATTTTGGGTAACGTCAAAAGAGTAAAGGCCAAGATCTCATTTTGGAGACACGAGTGAGCAATTAGGCCCATCCATCCTACCTCCTACCTCTATTTTATAGAGGTTTTCCGCGAGAACATGCTCCATTCAAAATTTCTAGCTCTCTGAGAGATTTTAGTTAGGATATTTTTGTCATGTTAATTATTATAAAAATAATACACATAAATTAAGAAAAAGTGAATCTAACCTAGCCGCCATTCTAAAAATCAGGTTTTCATCAATTAAATAATTTGACAAGCTAATCTTCTTCGTGACAACAATTTTTTAACAAATCATTTAGAAAAAACTTGAGAATAATAATTTTTATTATAATTTTAAACATCTAATTAGTGCACGCCACTTAGCACTCTCTCTTCAATTTTCAATATCCTATCATATTACTGAATGGTGTGAAACTCTTTCATTTCAATTCCAAATTTACATATTTGTGCATAGAAAAATTAGATTTAATGTGATTTAGATAATAATATTCATTCTAATATGGTTTAAAATAAAACATTATCTTTCGAAAAGCATGGTCACAGTCATGTGTTAGGTTCTTTTACGACCAAGATACATAACTACACCAATATGGTGTGAAATTTCTACGATCTATATATTTTCCGTACCTTGATGCAGTAAAACTGAAATCATTGTGGTATTATTTTTTTCTATCATAATAATACTTGAAAGTCCCGTTCATGTGATTATATTGCTGATAGACTTGCATTTTTTGTTTTATAACAAACCAAACTGAAGTTATTTGTAGATCATTAAAGAGATTTAAATGATAATTAGGCTATAGTTTGGAGCCAATACATGGAAAAGAGCATATTATAGATATTTGGTTTGATTTTGCTAAAATTTTAAAATTTTCTTTGAATGTAATGCAGAAAAAGAAAAAAGAGACTATTGATGATGGAGGTAGGTTTCACTTATAGAAATAAACGTGTTGCTATTGGTGGAGAGGATAACGCTGTTGAGCGAATACCGCTTGCCTGTTTCTGAAGTGCTTAGCGAACCTGAACCCAAATATACAGAATTTGCTACCCACGGTTAACCCCCGATCTAATCTAACACTATGTTTGGCAACAAGGGGGGTGCAAGTTCGAGGGGGGTACAAGTTGAGGGGTAAATTGTTGGGGGGTGCAACTTGGTGGAGGGTGTAAGTGGAGGGGTAAATTGTTGTTTGGATGAAAAAGTAGGGGGGGGTGCAAATAGAGTAAAAAGTAAGTAATTATATTATTATAAAATAGATTTGTCAATTTATAAAATATTATCACAAAATAATAACATGAAAATTCAATATATAATAATAAAAATAATAAATAAAAATAATTTTAATAAAAATAATTATTATATAATAATGCTCAAATATAATTATTTATAACAACAACAATAATCATTGGTCGAGCAACCTCGAAACTCGAAATCCAACTCGTAACTGGTCATCCTAAGGGGGTTCTCGTGCCTAACTTTAAATTGAATATGGTCAAACTTAGTCAAACACGTTCGAATCTGTAAGTTTTAACTACTTATTAAAGTAAATCGAGTTAACTAAACTGTTCCTCTCTATCTTTTCAACAAATGCTTCTTATCTCTAATTTTCAATGCAAATTCGGGTCAACTAAGAGATATCGATTTGACGAGGCGAACATTGACAAACTTGCTCTCTTAGTCAAACGGTCAACCCCAAACAACTTCTACACTAATATAGATATAAGAAAAAATTAATAATATTAATTATTATGTAATTATAATCTAATTAAAAATTCATAATTCCCCTCCTCCTCCTTCCCCCTCCCTTCCTTCCTTTCCTTGCACCCCAATTTGGGGGGTAAGCCGAAACAGTGAATTTACGCTCACGTTTTGCACCCCCCTACTGTTACAAAATAACCAAACGGGGGTAAACACCTTGGAACTTGTGTTTACCCCTCCAAACTTGCACCCCCTTTCATTTGCACCCCTTCCCAAACATAGTGTAAGTGTCCCGTGTGAGAAGCGCATCCTACAGGTCTATCATTGGAGATCAGCCCTAGTCGCTCCATTTCGGTTGAAGTTCAGCACACGGCGGGGACACAAATTTCATGCTGGGTATTCTCGGTAATCTCTTCAAACTGAAGTTCGTTGGAAATTGACTGAGCCGTGTTGTTATAGCATGGGCAGGGAAATATTAATTAATTATTATATATATATATATGTGGGGAGTTCTACGGTACCCAGGGTGAAATTCGGGGTACCGCATACATTGAGTATGAAAACGTTATTTAGACCTTGATTTGATTGAACTTTCGGACATGATACTATACTCTAACCCTTAAAGATCACAATCTAGGCCTTAATTCTCAAAATTTTATACCCAAAGATCAAGTTAATTGGAAACAATAATCAACGATTATGATTCGCCCAGATATAGGCAAAAAAAGAATGCACCATTTTAGGGTTTATAGTTTATGTTTTAGATAACTAGGACCTAGGGTTCACTCTTTAAGGGTTAGGGTATAGTATCACGTCCAAAAATCCTGTTGATTCGAGGTCTAGATAGAGCTTTCATACTCAAGGTATACGGTACCCCGGGTGAAATCCGGGGTACCGCATACAAGGGATGTCAATTTGAACCCGCCCCGCCGGGTAATACCCGACCTAACCCGCGATGGGGCAGGTATTACCCGACCCACATTAGCGTAGAAGGCACCCCGGATTTCACCGGGGTACCGTAGAAGGCACTATATATATATATATTATTAATTATTAATATTAATATTAATATATATATATATATATATATATATTATTAAAAGAACAAGCAAGATTTTACTATTCCTTAGAGTCACATCAAATAAGTGATCTTTTTGTAATTAACAAAAGTTTAGAGGGGTTTAATGCCATTAAAGTTCCAATTAATTAGCCTATGACAATTGACCCCAAATTGATTTACTCAATTGAGCCCAAATTGGACCCAAATTAATGGGTATTCAACCGGAGTAAAGCGAGTTGAGGACGAGTTTTACCCATTTTTGTAATTGACAGGTTGGGTCGGGTGCGTGTTTTGTTAAAGATCGCCCTGCTATATGAAATTGCCGTTGATGAATTTTGGATCGATATTTTACATGCTTTTGTAATTTACACGTTAGCACATGTGTGGAATTTGTTGATCAAGTTGAACCCGGTGTTGATGAATTTTGCTTCGGAGTAAAGCGAGTTGAGGACGAGTTTTACCCATTTTTGTAATTGACAGGTTCGATCGGGTGCGTGTTTTGTTAAAGATCGCCTTGCTATATCAAATTGCCGTTGATGAATTTTGGATAGGTATTTTACATGCTTTTGTAATTTACATGTTAGCACATGTGTGGAATTTGTTGATCGAGTTGAACTCGGTGTTGATGGATTTTGCTTCGGGAACGGGTTTCCCATGCTTCTCTAATTTATGGGATTGAGTCGGTTATTCTATATGCCCAAATGTTGTCAAACTGCTTTGTGACGCATCGACAATGAGTTTTACACGCTTTATAAGTTACGAGATTGAGCCAGGTGTGGATTTTGTTTACCAAATTGAACCCGGTGTTGACGAGTTTTGATTGGGAGTGTGTTTTACATGCCTTCCTAATTGATGGGATTGACTCTGGTGTTCATTTTGTTAAGCAAGTTCAACCCGGTGTCTACTCAATTTACGTCGACAATGAGTTTTACACGTTTCTAATTTATGCGATAGACCCAGGTGTGAATTTTGTTGATCGAGTTAAACCCTCTGTTGATGAGCTTTGTGTCGAGAGCGGATTTTACATGCTTTTATAATTTATAAGATTGAGTCGGTCATATATTTTGTCAAGCCAGTTAAACTCTACTTTTCCACAGTGGCACATTTGGGTACTTCTGTCTGGTTTTGTGGAGTCTATGTGCCTTTATGGAGATTTACCTCTGCTAATACTGACCCAATTATTGGGACTGGTTTCTACCACTAACATTTTTATATTTTCACTTTTCTTTATTCCACTTTTACCAACCATTCAATTTTATCATCTCTGCTATCCATCTCTTTCCCTCTCTTAGCAACAATCTGAAGAAGAAAAAAGGAACACCAAAATAGAGAGGAAAACCCAAGCTGCAATAGCAACTCAGCTCCCATCAGATTCTTCCACGACGAATTTCCCAACAAGGGATCGAAATTTGGGGCTCAACCGATGAGGTCTTGCGCAGCGACCGACGCGATTCAGACGGCGACACTGCATTATTCTCGGTAACTCCTCGCCTTCTCTTTGCATACTCTCATGCTCACCTCTCTCACTCTACTTCTCTGTTGTGCTTTTTAAAGTTTACAGTTACAGGAGTTTACTTCCATTCACCTCATGCTATTGTGTTGCTATTTGTTATTTTTTACAATTCATTCATCGTCTAACCCACTTCTCTGGCCAACCGAAGAGCGGGAAGGGGAGTTCGAGTTTCTGTTCTTCTCCGGACCGGCAAAGAGGAACAAGGCTGACCCCCTCTTTTTTCTCCAAAAGAGATAGGAACGATCGGGAAAGAGGAATGACTAGAGGGTCAACGGGTCCATGATTCGTTTCTAGGAAGTGGAACGACGAGAGGTGTGCAGGGAAAGATGGAGGAAGATCAACAAGAAGATTATAGGTTTTCTTGGCTGGGGAATGGTGCATGGGACTTGGCCAGGAGAACGACAGAGTGGATGAAAAGAAGGCCGACGAGAAGATTTGTGCTTCATTTTCGGGTAGGGGAATGGTGCAAGGGAGGTTGTCAGGGGAACGCCGGAGGGTCGCTTCTGGCCAGGGTAATGGTGGAGGTGAGGCTTGTGGATACCATACGGAAAGGAAGGATACATAGTGACATATTAATTTACACGGACATCACTGCCTTCAAACAATGGGACACACTGCCTTCAAACAATGGGATCTGCAATTCACTCAGGCTGAAATCGAAAGGTAAGTGATCATATTAATTTGATATTTCCGGTTTCTGCTCTCTTGCTTAGGAGAGTTTTTTTAGTCCTTCCAGTAGGAAATGCATCCTATGTGTTTGGTATTGCAGAGTGCGTGCTTCAGATGTCATCGTCAAATGCTTGCTGAAATTTCATTCTTAACCATCGTTTTCCCAATTTTGTGTGTGTTGGGTTTGTTTTCCATCTCTTTTCCATTGACGAGTCCTTATTTGTTTGTATATTGAGTTCGATTATAGTTGGTGGTATGGCTATCTTTAGTTGTTTAGGCGCGCTTGGCCTTGATGAAGAGATTTAAAAAGATACCATCTTGTGGGTTCTTATAGAGAGTTATATTCTGCCTTCGTTTTTGGGCAGGGTAATGGCGCAAGGGAGGTTGTTAGGGGAACGATGGAGGGTTGCTTCTGGCCTGGATAACGGTAGAGGTGAGGACTGTGGATATCATACAGGAAGGAAGGATAAATGGAATTACAAGCAGATCCATGCCTTAACATGAACATTGTTGGTTTCGAGTGATGGGATCCATAGTTCGCTCAGATTGAAAATGAAAGGTAAATAATGAACCTTCATTTTCTATTTTCAGTTTCGTCTCTCTTGATAGGGAGAGTTTGTTTAATCCTTCTCGTAGGAAATACAGCCTGTTCGTTTGGTATTACAGATAGCATTCTTCGGATCTCATTGCCAAATGCCTACCTAGATTTCATTCTTAATCTTCATTCTTCAATTTTTGTGTGTTATGGTTTGTTTTCCATCCCTTTTCTGTTGACGAATCCTTATTTGTCTGAGTTTGATCGCAGTTGGTGGTTTGGCACTCTCTAATTGTTTAGGCACAGTTGGACTTGATTAACGAATAAGTATGAACAAATTTGAAGGATACCATGTTGTTGGTTCTTATAGCGTTATATTATTTGTTTGTTGCTTTGGTTTAAAAAATTCTACAAAATGATGCCAATGCTGCCTAGCTACTTAAATCATAGTTAATTGAAAATAATTCTATTGCTTTTGTATAAAATTGTCCATCACTGATCCCATATCAGGATGCAACTCACCACCTGAGATTGGAATACATGGGCAAGCATCATCATTTTAGTGATGCATATGATTAGATGGCGACATGCTCGAATGTATAAACCAACTATACTGCTACTTCCTAATCTGGTTATCAGTATAAAACCCAAGTTAACATAATATTCAGTGGGTTTTTCGTTTTGTGTTATTTTTTTCTCTTTTCACTGAGAATTGTGGCTCTTTACTGGTTAGCTTTGGAAAATAGTTGGGTTTACTCCTCTTTACTGGTTAGCCTTGGGAAATGTTTGGGTTTACTTTGGTGAGGTTGCTGCATTCTTAGCTTTTGGTAAACTGGAACCCCCAGAATATGTACTCATATCTCAACCAAGACACCAAAGCTTAGTGACTGTAATAGAGAGTCGTTTTCCCAGTCACCCAATGTGGTTAAAAACGAGTTTCTATTTAGAAACGTTTTGGTAATCTAGAAGCGTAAAATCGTAAGTATTTAAGTTTTAAAGCGAGTTTTCAACTACATAAGTTATAAAAACGGAGATTTTGCATAGAAGCGTTTAAGTGATCTAGAAACGTAAAATCGTAAGTTTTTTAGTTTTAAAGCGCGATTATGACTACATTACAGCCGCCCATTTTGTTGCGAATTAGTAGAGTTAGTTAGTCGGTTACACGAGTTAGGATTAGTATTTAGATAGACCAGACTTGAGCTTTTCAGTTATGTAGGTGTTAGTTCCTGATATAATCCAAATCCGAAGAGAACCCTCGAACTCGGATGATATGACCAAAGTACGCAGCCTTCCTTCTTTTTAAGGGTTTTCGAAGTTTTTCTCCAACTTGAACAATAAGAAATAAAAGATAGATGCGGAATCAATCGGACAATCCCAACTCGTGACAAAGGGCAATTGGTATATTAAACCAATCGGACAGAATCAACTCGTGGAAAGGGGCAATTGATATAGGGTAGATGCTGGCCACAACTAGACGCGTTCTCTAGTTGATAAGAGACACGTACAATCTTTCGGAATCCCCGACAGAAGTCTTGCACAAAAGAACTCGTCCGTAATGAACTTGAACTCAACTTTGATTGATAACTTGAATATTGGGTACAAAATTCGTAGCTCTTACACCCTCTATTTATAGAGGTCATAAAAACATAAATCTAACCTAAAAGGAATAGGAAAACAAATCCCAAACTAACTAGGAAACATAATACTACTTAAATAAGAAATATAACTTGTTTTTATAACCAAAGGAAGCTCCTAGCAGCTAAGTAATCCCCAAACACGTTTTTAATGCTTAAAGAAGCTCCTTAGTGGTTAAGCAATCTCTTTCCTTGTCCTTTTCATACTTGGACGAATTGGGCAGCAAGGATGGACGTTTTGGGCTCCAAGAAATGTTGTAGGCCGGATCCTTAATGCATCTCCATTTTATCCATCAAGAATGCTCCCAGTTGATCCTTAAATCGTTGAATTCGAACATTCATTTTGGGACCACGAGAATTGAATATCGCGCTAGTCGATATCGCGTCATTCCCTCTCTCTTGAATAAGATTCGACCTCAAATCTTGTTGTTTCATGTAGGCTCTTTTGTACGACTTCATTAACCACGAGCTAGAGTATGGTCCTTGAATGCTAAGCTTATCCACGAACTCTTGCAGTCTTTGTCTCTCTCTAATTTGTACTTCATTGTATGGCCCTTCATCTCCAATAACGAAATCCATATGCTCAACACTCACACTATAATCTCCCATCTGAATAGACTTGTATTGGGAAGAACTTGGACCATCCTTAGAATGCGAATTTGGTGTTGTGGTTGTACTTGGTGCATTGAAGATGCCTATGGATGAATTTTGATGATGTAGGATGACATCTCCAATAACCAAATATACTCCAATAGATGATGACTCTTTTGGATCTTCTCTTTCTTCAACTTGTAGATCATTCTCCTTTGTCTCCGTATCTTCATTGTCATAGACATCCTTGGGTAGGATTTCATCTTTAATGGTCAAATCAGCATGATCTGTAGCTTATTCCTTCTCATCATTGACATTAGCTTCTACTACAACTTCATCACCGCCAATTGATCTTGAAGAATCATGACTTGAATCAATATCAACGGATCTTGCACAGACAACCTCTTGCTCTATCTTAATCCTTTTGTCTGCTTCTATTAGCTCCCTTTGAACAAGCTTATTCTCATTGTCACTTTGCACATTCTGGACATTTTTGTTCTCCAAGGGCACCATACGCCTTTTCTTGGGACATTGACTAGCCATGTGACCTTTTTCTTGACACTTGTAGCACATAACATCACTAGAGCGAAAGTCAGATCGAGTCTTGTCATTGCACATTACCCTTGAAGATATAAGTGATGGATTCGATTTGAGGATGGGCTTGGGATCTTCATGTCGTGGATATGAAGCCTTTGCTGTATCAGACAAACTCAGATTGGTTGAAGAAGCAATATGTCGTGTATAACCTCTCTTTTGCTGCTTCTCCACTTGGATTGCCATTTGTACCAACTCATTCAAATCAATAAAAGGCTGAATCTCCACCACATGCCTTATCCCACGATTAAGACCATTGAGAAATCGAGCTATAGTTTCCTTCTCATCTTCATCAAAATCTGCTCGAGCCATTAGGCGCTTCATCTTCTTATAATAATCATACACGCTATTAGAACCTTGTCGAAGAACATCAAGTGCTCGATGCATCTCACCTTGTGTAGGGCCATACCTCCTTCTCATGCATTGTTTCATCTCCTTCCATGTCTTTGCTGGTCGTTCCTCTCTAAAAAGTCTACTCCTAGAGCATTCTTGAGTCCACCAATCAAGAGCATGATGAATGTACTAGCAGCAAATGTAATCTTCTCTTTCTCAGAACACTCATAGCAATCAAATACAATCTCGATCTTCTCTTCCCAATCTAAGTATGCATCTGGATTATTTCGGCCTTGAAAAGTGGGGATCTCTATGTCATCCATAAGTTTCATATCTTCTCCATACTCCTCTTCGTAGCTATCTCGACGTCTATAGTGATTATTGCTCCTATAGGGGACACAATGCCAACCTCCTTTGAATTCCTCCATTATTGATCTACAAGAGCTTCTTCTCGCCGCTGAGTTTGAACCGGGCTCTTGATACCACTTGATATGATCCAAATCCGAAGAGAACCCTCGAACTCGGTTGATATGACCAAAGTACGTAGCCTTCCTTCTTTTTAAGGGTTTTCGAAGCTTTTCTCCAACTTGAACAACATGAAATAAAAGATAGATGCAGAATCAATCGGACAATCCCAACTCGTCACAAAGGGCAATTGCTATATTAAACCAATCGGACAGAATCAACTCGTGGAAAGGGGCGATTGATATAGGGTAGATGCTCGCCACAACTAGACGCGTTCTGATAAGCCCTTAATTGCACATGTTTTTACCCCAATTCTGGAGCCATTTGAGATGGTAATTCTCGTGTTTTAGGCCGATTTCACGCTAGGTTGTGTTTGTTTGTGATATTTCAGGTCCTAGCAAGTGAATGAAGGTTTAGGAGCGAGTTCGGGGTCGATTGGACGAAGATCGGGCGCGAGGCAAGTCAAAAAGGAAGCCACACGGGCACAACCAGAAGCCACACGGCCGTGCAAGTGACCACTTTGGCCGTGTGGGATTGTGCGAGTCTTCACACGGCTTGCCCTGAAATCCACACGGCTGTGTGAAGGAGTGGTTTGGCCGTGTTGAATTGTGCGAGACTTCACACGGCCAGGCAGGGTGAGTTACACGGCCGTGTGACCCTAGCCGTGTAGGTTGATTGAAGTCCAATTAATCGATACGCGGCGTTTTGAAGTCACACGGGCAACTGGGTATGCCACACGGCCGTGTGGCCCTGCCCGTGTGAGTCGGGAATTCCTGGTTTTAACCCAATTTCGGGCTGAAAGTGAGAGAATCGAGTTTTGAGAGCAAAAACAGAGCCCTAGAGAGAGAAAGTACGAAGAACACATCCTAGAAGCTATCTTGGAGCTGGGTTTCATCAAATCAAGCTTGGAGATCGTCATAGGAGTGGAAATCATCATCACAGAGCAGATTTTCCTCATCTTTATGAGTATGACTACTCTGTATTCTGTTTTCCTCTCTCTCTCTATGAAGTAGAACCCTTCTCTCACTTGGGTATGAAGGACCCTAGTTCTATGTGTTAGGGATTTGATTGTAATGACTTGGGATGATATTACTGCTTGGTTTTAATCGAATGATGCATGTTTATTGAGTCAATTGAAGTCTGATCAGCTTTTCCTGATTTCTACTGCAACCTGAGATAGATGGAATCTGATTAGGTTGTTAGAGCCTCATCATTCGGTAGTAGGAGATTGGCTATACGAGAGTTATCCAGTTTACTGCTTTGTACTGGAATTCAATTCCAGTAGTGGAGGTCTGTTCTTACTGCTTCAGCTTTCTATCCCGGTGAAGACTAGTCGTCTGCCGGGTAGTTAGTCTGAGAGGGCTTGGTCAGCTTAAGAGATTCCAAGCTACTGTCGGATCTTCCGCAATCTAATCAACAGTAAATCAACCCAGGGAAATTACATTTGAAACCTAACTAAGGAGCTAGGGGGACTCATTCCCGAGTGACTCTTCTTTGCTTGAGAAAACCGTACCAATTCCTGCTTTCTTTCTGCTTTTGCTTTAAATAACAAACACTTAACTTAGTTGGCTAGATAATAGATAATCACTGAGTAAGCAGTAGATCTAGACCCCGGTTTGATAATATAACTTGACACTTTACTGCATTCCCGGTCTGCGTTTACACTTGGTCGCAGATTGGTGTTGTGTTTTTGGAGTGTCAAGTTTTTGGCGCCGTTGTCGGGGACTCTCTAGGTTATTGGGGAAACGTGAAAATCTGTTACTCTAGCTTTTTCTTTACTGCAATTTATCTTTTCCACCTGTGTGCCTTCACGGGTAGCTTCTGCTGATTGTGTGCAGGTAGTGCATGACCCGTAGCCAGTCGGGAGATCTACTACCACTAGAACAGGAGCTTGAACGAACCTGCAGAAACTTCAAGCGGGCTCTAAAGGCGCGACTGGCTGCGGAGGAGGCGCTAGCACAGCTGCAGATTGCTGACGAAGAGGAGATGGCTGATCCACAGGACCATGATGTGGTCAATCCCGAGGAGCAGACCATGGGACATTACTGGACCGCCAGGGCTGCAGACATGAGGTCACCCATTCAACACCCTCATGTCCCATCCAATAATTTTGAGGTGAGCACCTCAGTAATCACCATGCTGCGCGGGTCAGTGATGTTCCGTGGCAAAGAGGGGGAGTGCCCTCGTTCACATCTCAGGCTATTCCACGAGCTCATCGATGGAATCAAGATCAACGGGGTCCAAGCAGATGCCATCTAGCTGAGGTACTTCCCATTCACCCTGGAGGGGCAGGCCAAGGAGTGGCTAGACACTCGACCTCCGGGCTCCATCACCACGTTCGCCAACCTGGCGGACAAGTTCCTTACCCGCTACCATCCTCCGTCGAAGACGGCGGACTTGCAGAAGCAGATCACCCACTTCACCCAGGATGAAGATGAGACCATCCGGGATGCTTGGGAGAGATACAACAGTCTCTTCCTGAGGTGTCCCAATCATGGTTTCAACGATGCTTTCAAGGTGGGAACCTTCTATCATGCCCTCTTCCCAGAAGATAAGCAGCTGATTGATTCGGTCTGTGGCGGGAACATGCTGACTAAAACACCGCCACAGCTGAATCAACTCTTTGAGGATATGGCAGAGAACGGGTATGATTGGGGCACTGCTAGGAGGTCGATGAGAGCACCAAGCCGAGGTGTGCATTCTGTGGGAAACCATTCCTCTGATTTGGTGGAGGTGGTGTCGAAGCTGGTTTCAGCTATCGATCGTTCCGGGATGATTCCAGGGACCGGACAGCAGCAGGCGATGCTCTGCCAGTGGTGCGAGAGCACCCATCATACAGTGGAAGACTGCCAGGCGATGAAGGAACCGGCCACACCCCAGGAGCAGGTGAACTTCATCAATAATGTCAGGCGCAATGACCCCTACAGTAACACCTACAATGAGGGGTGGCGCCAGCATCCTAACTTCTCCTGGGGTAGGGCAAATTCCAGACCACCAGTCCCCCAGGGACCACCGAGCTTCCAGAGGCCACCATATCTGCCCAGACAGGGGCAATTCCAGCAGCAGCATCAGTCTCTCTACCAGCCCATGCAGGGGCATGCTGCTCCATCACAGCCGCGACCTTTCCAGCAGCCAGGTGCAGCTCCTGCCACCCCAGTGCAGAATGATCTGATGGCTGAATTGCGGGACTTGGTGGGTTCTCTCGCCAGTTCTAGTGCTCAGAAATTCAACACTATAGAGCAGTTCATGGAAAAGGCCTCGGGTAAATTCCTGGCTCTTGAAGCTGGCTAGAGGAACACACAGGCTGTCTTGCAGGATATCCAAACCCAGCTGGGGAGTGTGTCTCAAGCAGTGGCACAAAGGGCTCCTGGTACTCTACCCGGACAGACCATCCCTCATCCTCAGAAGCCGAATGAGCACTGCAATGCCATCATAACCAGGAGTGGCAAGATGACTGTTGATCCACCTGTTCGGGCTCAAGAGAGAGAGGCCCCTGCCTCGGCACCTCCAGTGACTGAAGAAGAAGCAGAGAAGGAGGTTGAGGTGCCTACACCTAAACCGCAACCAGTAGTGAAGGAGTATATCCCTCAACTCCCCTTCCCTACTCGGTTGCACAAAGACAGACTAGATGCAGAGTTCGGGAACTTCATGGCCATACATAGGAAGCTGAATGTCCAAGTACCTTTCCTGGAGGCACTATCTCAAATGCCTAAGTATGTGAAGTTCCTGAAGGATCTTCTCTCAAAGAAGCATAAGCTGAGCGAGCTGGCCACTGTGGAGCTCTGCGAGGAGTGCTCGGCCATTCTGCAGAACAAGCTTCCGCAGAAGCAGAAGGACCCAGGTAGTTTTACTATCCCGTGCTCTATAGATAAATTGAATGTAGAGAGGTCCTTGGCGGATTTAGGTGCTAGTATCAATGTTATGCCATATAAATTATTCAAGAAACTAGGCCTAGGTGAACCCCGTGCTACTAGGATGAGCATTCAATTAGTTGACCGATCTGTCGTGCATCCTAGGGACATAGTGGAAGACCTTCTGGTTAAGGTTGGCAAATTCAATTATCCTGTTGATTTTGTGATTTTGGACATAAATGAGGATGTGAATGTGCCATTGATACTGGGAAGGACTTTCCTGGCCACCGCCAAGGCCCTCATAGATGTGCATGATGGTACCTTAGTTTTGAGGGATGGCGAGGAGCGAATAACATTTTCAATTACTAATACTCTCCCTGCTGCTTCGCCTTTGCATGTTATTTCTCACCAGGAGCACGAGTCTGTCGTGTATCCTTCTGTGTTTCCTATTTTGCAGGATCCGCCTCCCATACCTTCGCCGCCACTCCCGTCCACTCCGTCATCGAAGGAGCAGATCAAGGAGGAGTGGCGGCCGAAACAGCAGGCAGCTAAGCCTGCTCGAAAGAAAGCCGGAGACCACTATGAGCTGGTCCCGCCCCCACCTTGGCCATCCGAGTATTCACTCGCTTGCATCCTGCCGGATGGCCAAGTTGAGTTGGCAAATGCTGGTGGCCACATTCGGCGTGTGCATGGCCACCATTTGAAGCTGTACCTCAAGAGCGAGGTGGATCCGCTCTTGAAGGCACCTACTTCTTCACCTCACTGAGCATCCACCGACTGGCGTCCAACTAAAAGACGGTAAAGAAGCGCTTGTGGGGAGGTAACCCCGCCTAGGTATGCATTTTATTACCTTTTTCCTTTTGATTTTTGTGTTTTTTGAGTCTTGAAGGGTTAATCATGAGTTGTATGTCGTTCTGGAGTGAAAACAGGTCAGTTTCGGAGTTCTGGCAGCCCACACGGCCGTGTGAAAAATGGGTTTGGCCGTGTGAGCTCTCGCAGAATTCCACACGGCCAAATGTGCAACAGACACGGCCGTGTGGAAAATTGCCCCGGCCGTGTGAGCTCTCGCAAAATGTCACACGGCCAAATGTGCTTTTGGCACGCCCGTGTGACAGTTCCTCGGCCAGCCTGTGTCGGCCGACACGGGTAAAAGTGCATCTGACACGGCCGTGTGGCCGAGCCACGGCCTATAAATTTGGCCGACACGGCCGAGTGGTCAGAAAATTCAATTTCACTCGCCGGAAACCTCTCCCCCTCGCCGGAAAACCGCGACTTTTCACCCTTCTTGTCGATTTTCGGCCATTTTTGGTCGGTTTTTCAAAAATCTAACGCCACACCCATACTTTCCTCCCCATTATCGGCCTATCCCTCGAATTTGAGGTGATTTGGCTTGATTTTGAGTCGCCGGAGGCGATTTCCAGCGAGCCTCCGGCGAGGTTCCAACGAGCACTTCCGGGAAGTTTTTCGGCCTTTCGTCGCTTCCATTGCATTCCTCTCATCATCCCCTACACCTCTACTTGAGCCAGGTTTGATTTTGACCTTAACTATGTTTTTCATGGAGAATTGGGTGTTAGGGTGCATGTTTAGAGAACTCCTTTGAATTGTGAGAATTTTGTGCAATTGATTGAGGGGAATGCTTGGATTATGTATGAATTGTGTTGGGCATTGTCCCCCCTTGCTTGATTGAGCCCTTGTGTGCAAGAATTTTGTCAATTCCATGTTTATCTTAATAGTGCACACAAGGTGTTCGATGAAATGCCTGTTTTCGTACCATTTTGTGGGAGTCGGTTGGGACCCTTAATGCTGTTCTTTGGGGGTGTGTTTGGTATGGATGTGAACCTTGAGTTGCCTACTTGTTCATGGATGTGCACCCCCCCTCAGATTATGATTGATTTATCGAGTTTTTGACCCCCGAACTATGGATGAAACCATGGTTAGGCTATTTTCTGTATTTAAGTGTGGGGGTGTGATTAACATTTTCCTTGGCTCTTTTGGTTCCACTTTGGGTTGTTCTTTTGCAGGACCATGTCGAAGCCCAACCTCCGGCACCAATTTGTTCAAGATTTGAGAAGGGGGCCCCACCAGGAGCGGTTTAAGAACGTCCTGGCCTGCAAGTTTGGGCAGCATCATTGCTGGTCCAAGCGAGAGTTGGAGAAGCTGAACTGCTACGAGCACCTCTCCCCCGTTGTCACTAACCGCTACTGGCGCCACCTACTCAACATTCGCGAGAAGGTATACCACGAGCTCGTGCTCGAGTTTTACACTACCTTCGAGAATGCAGACACGGAGGATTGGAAGGACGGTGAAGCCGTCAAGTTCCGGCTCGACAGTGAACCACGATCATGAGCTACCACGAGCTGGCGAATGCTCTCGGCCTCAACCTAGTCGATGACAGAGACTTCATCACCGAGAGCACCGAGCCAGCGGGGGTGGACT